TATCCTAGTGGAGCTTTTTATGTTAGAATTTTTAAATTTTAACAAAAGATAATTCCAAATAAAAATAAAGCTAGTATAAGACACAAAGTTAATGATTAAAGAGGTTATTAACTTGTTTATATAGTCATTTTATTTGTTAAATATGTTAAATATTTCCATCATATGTTGTTTTTTTCCCTGGAATACTGCTAAATTGAAATGATGCAACATTGAATTTATATTGTTTTATGTTTTAATATTTGTCTGGAGTTACACTGTGATATTAATGTTTGGTATGATATGTTTTGGTCACATTGTTTTCCTTCTTAATAAAGAAATTATGTTGCAATATGTGTATAGTCAGTGTGAGAACATGTAGGGTTGTGTGAAGATGTTATATATACTGTCAATTTTCATCTGACATTACAAGTAAGATTAATGTAACAATATTGTTTCAAGTTGAATATTGTGGCTAGTGATACGGTGTGTCAGAAGAAATTAAAATGTGCTGGATGCCCAAAATTCATCCTTGTCCTAGGGTCAACACCTTAAGTGTTTATGCCACAAAGTCTTGTTAAATGTTTGTTAAGAAATAAAACAATGGAATGTTTTTCAAGCATCAGAGTAAATTTAAAGCATCTGTCAAATTTCTATGACTGAAAAAAAAAAACACCCACAAAACCAGCATGGATTATTAGAAAATACTATGTATCAAACTATGATATGGAAATGCTAATGGTAACGACTGAATCATGGCTACCTGATGATATCATTAAATTTGTATCTTTCTATTTACATTGGAAAAGGTGATGAAATATACACTTTATGTAGTAAATATCAGCTAAGTAGAGTGCAATATGTAAATTAACTGAATGAAAGGCTAAATTCAAGCTACCTTCTAACTACACAGCATGCTGTCCAATATTAATGTGTTGGATAATTGATATTGGACTAACACATCAATATTGGATGACTACCTGTACCATATAAAATACAGTGCTATCAGAATGAAGGAGTGTCCTCATACTAATATTTTAGAGTAAAGGAATGATGAGATTCTGGTATGTTAGAATAAAAACACGACTTCATAGTGACTTCATAGTAAATGAAATTTGTGATATAATTACTTTAAAATACAAGAATGATGTCATAGATGTACTTAACAGATAATTACAATATATTTCTCATTATATTGGACCAGATTTACTGTAAGATTAAACTTAGTTACCTCCCCTTATTATTTATCATCACACCAGGTGCAAGTTTTATTGCTACAAAGTTTTATGATTATTATAAGGTGACTATATTATCAAATCTTAGTGATCAGTAAATTATTCTTGATGTATTTTAGAGTACATAGTGTACATGTATATGTTTTTGAATGAAATAACTCTAATTTCAGTGTCGCAGTTATAATCTCATATATGTGTTAACATGAAGGTGTAAAATTGAAATTGTTTATATCTAGTTTATATATTATTATGATGTTTGAAAATAAAGAAGTTAACTCTATCTTATCCAAGTAAATAAACAAATGGCAATGGAGATTTAATGGAAATAAACAAAAAATGAGTTGTTTGAGTTATTTTATATTATATTTGTGGATTTTTTTTTACATTTTTGTGATTTTACAAGTGACAGCTAGTCTGAGTGATTGAGTCATAGTTCTGGCATAGTCTGTTCAGAATGTTGATTTATTTGTGTTACTTTTATAAGAACACAACATACATAGTGACTAACACAGTCAACCAGAAAATGCTAACCATAGCGACTTGTACGTGGCCAATGTATGTGAGCACCCTGTCACAGTGAAAGCAGATAAATCTGACCTGTTATGAAATATACTGGTGCCTCATATTTCCAAGGTATTGAGCATAAACAGTCTCAAGTGCCTTTTAGACTTCATGCACCTGCCAGTAGTTTTACTTTTACATTTTTATTGTACTTTTATTGAAATGTAACATAAAGGAAAATAAACTATGATGTAATTGACATGTCTTTCCTACATTAATCAACATATTTTCCAGAATTTTATTCTTCTAACTTTGGTTGTCTGGGTTAAACAGTTAAGTACCACGGAAAAATGAGGCACCAGTATATAAAGAATATTAATGCGGACCATTTTGGTGAATACTTGAAGCTTACTGTGTACGCTTTCAGGAACTAGAATTTGTGTCACATAAAAAAACGGTGCTCAAACCTAAAATCTCTTGGTTTAGAGACGAACACCTTAACCTCTAAGATAGCACTCCTTGTAAAGGAATACACGTCATCAAACTGTTAAACAAAAGGGCGGTTAATGTCCTGAGAAATAATCTTGTGTGAATATTATCGGCATCATTATGTCACAACGTAGGCGTTCTTTTAATGTCTTTATTTTAAAACAGGAAAAGATCAGCGCAATGAAATTGCTTTATGATGCAGTTTAGAAATAAATTATGACAAAATCAATTTTACAGCGCCGATTATCTTCCGCCGTTTTCAGTGGAATTGTTCCTTAAAGAAATAATTTATGAGTAATTAATAAACGAAAACTTTACGCCAATATCTCATAAAATATTTAATTTGTGATTTACTTCCTGTTAAAGTTAGGCATTCTGTTTAATTCAAAAGATTATTAATGAAAGTTGAAATTATTGTAAAATCATTTGCTATAAAATGAGTGTCGGTTACATCTTATACAATAGTGCGCATTTTGTCCTCAAAATATTACCTTGTACTCGTGTTATTCACCTACAGCAAAATGTGTAACCAGTCAATTATATCAGCAGTTGTGTATATAGCCATGCAATTAATTGTAAATTTTAATTTAAATTCACCAAGCTGTTGATAAAATAGTTCAAGTAGATTTATCAGTTGCAAATTTCTTGTTAGTGTATACATAATAAGAGGGACGCTGGTTCAGTCGCCCTGGGTTGTAAAATAACCACTTTGTATGTTAAATAATTCCGCTGTGCCCATTTACAAGGTTACCTTTTGAATTACCAACTGACGATGATTAAGTACGATCCCTCAGAAGCATTAAGCACAAAAAGTTGCAGACTTGGTTTGATTGTGTTTGTGCATGAGGAATAATGAAAATAGTGCAACATCCCTAACCCCCTAGCACCTGCTTGAGCGGTACTCAAAATTCAACGCTTTAAGTGCTGGAATCAATGAAGGACCAGAAAAATATAACAACACTGAAGTGAAGTACATGTATATAGAGCATGTGTTCAAAAAGGAACACGGATGAAAGTTCTATTGAAATTATCAATTATAAAGAATTTACCACAAAGGCTATTGCAGTTGAAAAGTCATATAACATGAAACGAGTGTTGTAAAATTTTGTAAAAACGAATTGAAATTTACTTTATTTCATTAACCCCACTTACATGTATCTTTCCCAGTATAGAAATTATAAGAAATGGCTAGCTAGTAAAAAAGATATTTATGAAAAAATCAACAACGCTGTGAGTTTAAACAGATTTACCTACGTGCCTTTAACACCAGCCAAGTCCAAAATTGTCGGTCCGGTTCAATTTTGTTTATCTGTACAACGTTCATAAAAATTTGATTCTTCTCTCATTGTCACTTACTCATCATACTCGCAGAGGAAAGTACGTTTTTCTACCACTTACATTGAAAATACGTGTTTCTACCACGTGCATGAAAAATACGTGTTTCTACCTCTTGCATGGAAAATACGTGTTTCTACCACTTGCATGGAAAAATACGTGTTTCTACCTCTTGCATGGAAAATACGTGTTTCTACCACTTGCATGGAAAATAGTTGTTTCTACCACTTGCATGGAAAATACGTGTTTCTACCACTTGCATGGAAAATACTTGATAATGACTGGATCAAAACTGCGAAGTAATACATTTAGACGATTTAGGGTGATAGCTGACTAGAATCATTTGGTTATCAACTAGGATCTCGTTTTTTCCCTAGCAATATTGCAGCGCTAGTCGCAAACAAATATTGCAGGGGAAATGTGTTTCCGTCAATAAAGTAGGGGAAATACGTGTTATTGAAAATACTTGTCTCTGTCAATATCGAAGAGAGAAATACGTGTATCTATAAATATATCAGTGAAATCGTGCATTAAGCGGGCTGCCTACGGCTGTAGGTGAATTAGAATTTCATGCACTACATAAAATATCAATATCTCAAATGAAAAAAATATATATAATCTGGAAAAATGTTTCCCGTTCAGATTTTCAATACTACTGAACTAAGCGGTATGACCTCGACTGAGTCGAAAATATAATGAAAATTTTGTGCTGGTTCAATACTGCCAAGTAAATTTTAGATGAACCAATGAGATGTGTGTCTAGATTGTTGATTCGATAACATTTCATAATCAGAATAAATCACGACAAAGGTACTTTTCTTCTGAGTAGATCTTTCTTTAATCTTTCATTTTACAGGAGTTAGTAGCATAAATTTTCCATGATTGCACACATTTCTCGGGCAGAGTTTGAAAGATATTGGCGATGGCATTTTTCCACGGCATGCGGATAGGATTTTGAATGACAACTAATTTTATAAGGATTGGAAACTACCATAGAAGGTTGTAAGAGGTCACTGTTCAGATGTTTGCAAAAATGTTTTCCGTCTACGTGTGTTGCTTTTAGATAAATAGTTTTATTTATACTCGGCACCGGAATGAACCATATGTCCGAGATACACCAGTGCCAAAGCCGGTCCGTATCTGTTGCCTCATGGGGGCGCCTTTTTCTTGCCGATTTTTCCGTAAATCCCGTTCTTTCATTAGGAGACAACATCAAAGCATTCAACAAAACGACCCTTTGTACGACCACTCCCTCCAGAGTAAGTCCAATCATCCCTGGTACTTACGATGACTTGACCTATCGCATGCTTTACGCACACGTTAAATATTTAATAGATAATCTTGACCCTATTTCAATCATAATTATGCTTGGCCTTTTTTCAATAATCCAATTGTAATGGTTGCTCTCCCCTTTCCCGATACAACTGAGTGGTTGCCAGTGTAAATAACTATCGCCTATTTTTATAACGCGCTGACTTTACAACAACACTCTATTAACTGGCGTTAAACTAGTTACCCACTTACTTTATTTTGGAAGTTAAACATACATACATATCAATATTAATGAGTGTTCAGTGGCGATACAGTCTGCTTGTATATATTTATGTTGATTTTTTCTTACGTGCTGAAGTTATATACTGATAACGAAGTAATAAAATATTTCAAGGTGTGTTAAGTGAATATTAAATTGCATGTGATAATGTGACATTAACCTTTATAATTAACTGTTGGACAAAAGGGCGTGGTTGGGGATCGGATAATGGAGGAACCGGGTGCCGGTGAGATGTCGGGGATACTCGACGGTTCAGCCGACGAAGTGTCGTCGTCGGCTAGCAGGATTATTCGTGTTTTCTTGAGTTCAACGTTTTCAGGTAAATTGGTGTTTTTATAAATATTTGTTATTCAGTTTTAAAGGGAAGTTTAACACTCTGATTCTAATCGCTTTAATCAATATTTACAATGATATATAGTCATGTTCTGTTTAATTAGTGTCACACATTTGTGTCAATGTTTTACTGCATTTGTATCACTATTATATTATTTGTTAAGCAAGTGGTAGTATATACATGTATATAGTTAGTTTAAGTGATTGTGTAACTATCAGACTTTATATACATACACCCATCAATTACAAGATGCATTATCCTGTCTAAATTATGTATAAACTAATTAATTAATATCATAAATAATTAAATTCAACGTCTGGTAGAAAGAAACTAAACTCTCTTTACAACAAGACTAAAGTTAAATTGTTTCATTTTATTATAATATTCAGCGAGCAGTTAAGAGCTCCCTGTGGTTTTGGGGTAATAAAGATCTGCTTCAAATAGCACAATTTTCTTTTGAAACAGAAGCGTGTAATAACTCTCCACTTTGAATAAAAAGTAAAAATGTATAGATCTATATAAACAATACACATGTACATTGACGTTTTATTATGTACTCGTTTATCCTGTTAGAAAAGAGCGAACTATTTAGGACGTTGTGCTGGGGCGGATTTAAAGTGGTGGCTGTAATGTAGGGATATTACACTACAGGCATGAAGTCCCTCGTGTATAACAGATTAAGCAAATCTTTTCTGGTATGCTCCTATTGATTTATGAGTAAAAATGATGACTACCCAGTGACTATTTGAATGTTCACATATGCATAGTTCAATTCTTGTGCTATTATTAATATTTGATAAGTGATACATTTAGGAAAACAATTTACACAAACTGTATTCATGGGAGGACAGTAGGTTTGTATGATAATACAATATGGATAATTGCATCTGATACAGGAAAAATATTGCATATCCCAGTTGCGTGCAGGCGTATCCCTTGTTGTACACATATACTACGATATTATAACATTCCACACATGCTTTTAATAAAAGTTTACAACATTTCAGTTCATTTTAATGACAATAAATATAACATCTGTCATCGTCTCAAATAGAAATATGCGTTTAAAGATTCACCTACCGACAATATTGCCTTTGGCGCTCAATGTGACGAGGCCATGCATGAAAAAACACGTGTATACCACGTGTACAATTAACACGTATATTATTTTACACAGATAAGGGTTATGATATTCTATCAGTAACATATACAAACCAGTTAAAAACTTAGGCATATTTCTGAACTCTAACATCAATAATTAATTATAGGATCACAGGAAAAGATTGAGTCCTCTTAAGGTTTGTTTCACCGACTGTAAATTGCAATCCTTAGAAAGTTATCAACTTATTGTTCTGTCACTTAGCTTGATAGTACTAACCTTTAAGTATCTACCCCGTCCAGTCGATAGATACGTATTAAATCAAGCATCTCTCATGATAATTATTAGTTTCCGTTTATAAATACCTAAAATACATGTAAAATTGTATCAAAAATATTAAACAACTTCATGTGTTAATTTACAAAGATACAGCACTTTTTTCTGTATTCGCGTGTTGCTTATATAACATTATATAACTTGAGTTAATAAAGATATGTTCTGTTACACCAATAAAATGTGCCCCTGCAAAACTTTACAGCCGCAATTTGTGCGTTGTCAGCAAAAGTTTGAATTGTTCCTAAAGCAACAAATACGGGGGAATACATTGTCAGCATAATGTATGTGGTTAGATCAGCAAAATATATATGGTTAGATAATCAAAATATGTGTTGTTAGATCAGCAAAATGTGCGTTAAAAGCACAATAATACATTGTCAGTAAAGTATGATTGAAGCGACAGAACGCATTGTCAGCAAAACATGGATCGTCAGCAAAAGTGTGCGTTGTGTGTTATTTCAGCTAAATGTGCACATTCAGCAAAAATATGCCTTGTATTGTCAGCAAATAGTGCGTTGTCACCGAAAGTAGTCATTGTCAGCTGAAATATTGTCAGCATAAACATAACATGTACAATATTTCTTGGAAAATACATGGCATGTGAAATGAATCCATATTTAGGCTGAAAATTTACAAATTCCAATACCAAATCTGATAAAACCTAGTGACAACCAAACGTTATAATGCAAATTATTCTGATCAACTTGGTTGATTTTTGACATCGTGTTTTTCCTTATCTCCATAAATCATGTTAATTAATAATACAAAGAAATATTTAAGTAAATGTTTTTAGAGACTTGAGAATTTTGTTATCACATATTTGCACTTTGAGTTATTAGTCATACAAACTTGTTTAATGTAATATTTACATAATGTCATGATCTGAATAAAGATAAGTAAATTGCATACAACTTAAACAAAAATACTCTTTATGATTGAATGTAAAAAATTATCGACGAGACGAATTTATCATGGATGTGATATCTATGAAGATAGTGACCCTTTATTGTAATTTATATTTTATTAACATTATGATTAAAATGCTGTCATCATTCAATATATTCATTAAAAATCCTGCATGTAGTGAATCGTTATTACTCACCGGTGAAATATTTCTGGTATGAAAATTATTCACCAGTAAAAATGAGTCTTGTTGTCGGTGAAGAATTACTTCATTACTAAAATGCATTTTCATCAATACATTGCAGACCTATTAAGGTCAATATGTTTTCGTATATTTTGTTTGGTTTGCATGAAAATGTAATATAAAATGGTAACCTAAAAGATCGCTTAAAATGGCAAAATTAAACATTTTAAAGAATCGCTTTTATTTCGCTTGTCCATGGACAGTAGTTACATGTCAATACAAGCTAGTTTCCGTACATTTAACCACCGATTTAAGCAGAACATGAAATGATGTTGAATTTAAAGCAGCACACCTCCAGATTCATGTTAATTTTCATGAAAAAATTTGGTGAAAGTATTTTAAAAAAAGTTAAATTTTTTGAGGTGAACAAATAAAAGTAATTAACATATTGCAAACCCGGCGCTTACCAATCCACGAAAATTAAACAAAAACCTCTTACAAGATATGGCAAAAAAGGCTTCTGCGTTAGTAAACGCAGTATAAATATGGGGTTTATAATAGACTGCAAAATTTTAGCCCTGTAAACCTCACATTTTAACATGTAAAATATAACTTGGATCTTGAATGTTTCTTAATCTTTCTTTTAAAAATTTAAGTGCATTTATCTCAAATAGTTGATTTTTCTTTCAAATAGTCTTGGACTCATCTTGGAGGCGTTGTTAGCTACTAAAACTTTAGACCAACAGTCTGTAACTATACTAATATGATATATGTAGAAATTATGGAAAAATTCATTTTTGCTTTGACCGAAACTTTTTAATGAATATTCGGCGTTTCTTTTGAAGTGCATAGCAATGCTATCATCACGCGATTTATCTAAATGAATTCGGACTGGATTAAGTGTGACCTTAGATCAAATCCTACTCCCACAAAAAACAAATTATCTGCAATGTATAATATAAGTAATGTCACTTCCAAACTCATAATCAGTAAATAATACAAGTTAAACGATAACAATAGTAAAACAAATATGTGACTAGATTACCTTTTCTAAAAACGGTACGCATGAATGAGTTTACAAAACAAACAAGTGGCAGTGTTTAAACGTTGAGAAGTCAGTCTAGAAAATTCAGATATAATCTGTACACAAGTGATCGAATGGAGCACCAGTAATATTCACATAACCAGTCTTTGATCTAAGTGTATACGTGAAATATAGGTCACTGACAACACTCACTGGGGTGGGAGTCAGCTAACTCTATAAATGTCATATGTGTGTTGACAATTGGTATTACTCGACATTTTGCTCTCATGAAGTACATGCGCGATATTCTGCAACCTCTGATTCATTAATCTACCTACACGCCTCACACTGTACACATCCATGATAGTAACATGTGACATAACACAACCTGAGACCCACCACAAACTCAAGTTTTGCAAGTAATCGGCAGTTCCTGGGTACCGTACGTACAAATTATACTTCAGTTTATGCGCGGGATATCAACCAACTTGAATACAGGCACGAACCAATCATAAAGGCCTGAGCGCATAAAGGGTTTCCAGTAACAGCTAGGATGACCTAGCCATATTAGCTAAAGGTAACCAAAGTAACGGCTAGGTTACCAGCATTAGCATAAGGAAGTGGAACAACTAGGGTACCTAGGAACAGCTAGGGTACAGCAACAACTAGGGTACCATCAACTAGGCGAACCAGAAAAGAAACGATTTCGTTAGTTGAGCAGTAAAACTAGTGTTAAAGACGACGCACACGGATTCGTCCAGGCACCCTCAAGCTAGGTGTTGTGAAGCAAGTATACCCTTTACCAACCACAACAACAAGCATAACGTACAGTAACAGTTAGGTTTTATTCAAAAGCGGGCGCGACGGAGCAATAAAGCCTATAGAAGATATCCTGGCCTCTTTGACTGCTTAGTGGTTATTCCTTAACTAATACAGCCAAAGAGTAACCAAGCAACAGGTAGGTGTATCTACACATTATTAAGTTGAGGTACCGTAAAACCATTAATGCGCATGGCTCAGCTTACAGCTTAGATACACCCATAGTACATGAGATAACTCGCCGTATGCAACAACATACGTTTTAGCGTATACCGGGAAATAAGTATAGTAAAACAGTCCCATTGTGATAGAAGGATTGTAATAGCATCAATCATTGAATCATCCCACAGATAGAAATACTAGGCAACTAGCAATAGCTAGGGCACGGCAACAATAGGGTACTGAGCAACGAGACTTTATTAAGGTAACCGAGCAAACGAACTCACGCTTCTTAGTACTCCTCACCCCTCGAGGAGCTCAGGTATGGAGCTCTTCTAGAATTTCTCTGCTTTTGAAAAAGAGAGAGACAATAAGATTTGCATATTTATGCAGAAATGCGAAATTAGCCAGAATCTCGTAATAGACCTCCAATCTAAATAGATTGTAATTAGAGTTCATTCAATAGTGTTCACCACTATCATCAGATTATTTGTGTATTCCTTGATATAAGAGCCCTTGAGTGTCTTCTCGGTATAAGTAGTAGATTATAACAAAATGAATTGTCTCAATATCGCACGATTTAAGTGCTACGATACGGACATAGATAGCGATATCCATTTACGATCAATTTGTAAAAATTTAGAGCATATACAACTAATTATATATACAGGTTTATAAGACATTGACAATCAATAATTATATGTCTACCGACCCACATATAATATTAACGACAGTAGGTACGCGACAGTAGGTAATGTAGAAAACATCAATGTTCTACGTGTGTTTGTCTTAGGCTCTTCATATAATATTTCTTGGCGTAAGTCAATGAGCAGAACAACGAGAGAAAGTGGTGTACTATGATATTACGGATGATTATTTTCCTTTTGTTTCAACCATTTTAATTATTCCCCATTTCCATTTTCGCAAGATGTATGACGTAATCCAATTAATTTATGTTCGATATAGTCTTTTCCTTCTGCAAGAAAAATATTGAGTCTGTTTTAGTTCATTTATTATATTAATATAACCCCACATAGAATTTTGATGTTTATTATAGAGTAAAGAGGTTAAAACTGTCAGCGCTTTTATTCTATTGGATATAGCTTTTCTAAATGTCATTTCCTTCTATAGAGCGATTTACGCTATATAATCCGTACTTCAATTCCTTTTATGAGGTTTGAAGAGGGAAAAATGTACTTGGTTTTAACAGGGACTGTTACCTCTGAATTAGAAATACACTCAAGAGCTTAAATAAGCTTGTGTTTTGTAATGAATTTTGTCATGCATGAGGAAGTACTCTTGCTGTTTGACAGAATACGGAACAATCTTTTTTCCATAGTCAACACTTTCTGGGATGACCAAACATTGATTTACCGGGTCGGTTCCTGTTTGGCATTACTGCTAACAGGATGTGCTTACCGGACCACTCTTTTCTCAATAAAAAATAATGTTAAATTCATAGGGTAATTTCAATATAAGTGACATGCTTGAATCAGAATGCTAGTCGAGTAATGTGACAGCAACATGATAGTCCGTTTCAATAGATCCGAGAAGTTTGAGTGCGTTGCCTGAATCATAAATCGCCTCTCCGCTGCAAGGCATTTGAAGCATGGTACCGAAAGCACTTTCTCTGTTCTGCATTTTTACATAGATCGGAATCTCCGCCAACAATCAATAACTGGTCCTTTACTACATATTATAGTAAAATAAACATAATCACGTGGTGTTGTGTGGAATAGCTATAACAGACTACTACGTGATCTCGACATATGAGACGATTGCGCAAAACCCTTCGTTCTTACTTTTCGCTCACTACTGATATGGTTAATTTCCAAATACAAATAGTGTTTTGGTTCAGGCAAGGGTTGGTACCATTACAGTTCATTTTAGGGCTGACATATTGTAGGTCGTTATCTTTTTCATAGTGAGTCATATATATTAGTGTGGCTCGTCTGCATGAAAATTGAACTTGAAAAAGATAACGGACAGTTATTAATGTGTTTAGAATGCATCACAGTATTGCGCGTTTCGTATGCTCAACTATATAATTTATTGCAAACATAAAGTACTCTCGTCAATTTATTGCAGATACACTTACATAGCCCTCTTCGGTTCCATTGTAACCTACTCTTACATAGGTACCTATAGTCAGATTGTCTTGTAGTTAGTTAAAAAAAGCCCTCTTTGAGTGTTAATATTGAACAGCATTGAGATACCTTGAAGTCATTATCCTGAGTAATTTGTTTTATATTTAGACTCCAGACAATTGGGTAACCTCTTAACTATAGTATCCAAAAAAGAACTACATCTGTAATAATATCTACATATTTTCTATCGAGTTACATTTGGCGTAATTTTCTGAAGTAAGTACCCAAACACTTCCTGTATCAGCATGACATTTATTTCTTACGAATAGAAAGTTACCACGTCACGATTCTTTCACCTCGAGTACATTGTAATTACCCTTAGCATAGTTACCCTCGAGTACATTGTAATTACCTTACAATAGTACCCTCGAGTATTGTAACATTGTAACATTGTAATTACCCTTACATAGTAACCTCGAGTACATTGTAACTACCCTTACAATAGTACCCTCGAGTACATTGTAATTACCCTTACATAGTACCCTCGAGTACATTGTAACTACCCTTACATAGTACCCTCGAGTACATTGTAATTACCCTTACATAGTACCCTCGAGTACATTGTAACTACCCTTACATAGTACCCTCGAGTACATTGTAACTACTCTTACATAGTACCCTCGAGTACATTGTAACTACCCTTACATAGTACCCTCGAGTACATTGTAACTACTCTTACAAAGTACCCTCGGGTACATTGTAACTATATTTACATAGTCGCATCAAGTACTTTGTAATTACTTTCAAATGCAGCAAAAATTCTCTCACAAATGAAGGATATAACACTCTCATTGTAAATTTGAGTGGCTGTATTCGAGATGGTACCAGTACATATAGCAGTTATTTATTGTGATATTCTTGCTATATTTATAATATTTTATATTGCTGGTGTTAATTTATTTTGCAGATATGGCTGAGGAAAGAAACATGTTATTACAAGATGTGTATCCGAAGATATCCGAATATGCCAAGAACAAATATGGCGTCAACTTTCAGGTGACGAAATGCATTTCCATCCGCAATTAGAATTCTATCCAGTTTGGCACATTTTCTCTAGACACATATGTAAAATATAATGCAAAAGATAACATTCAAATATATATGTTTCTGTTGCTTGCTAGAATTGTACAATCTCATAACAACTTTCTGGCGTTCTTACTAGCGTCTTATAAATATTTATGCAACAAGAAGGCTGTCTGACGTGAGAAAATAATCATGCTAGTTAAGATGGTTAGCTAATTTGAAAACAGTATTTGTTAATTGATAGTGACAGAACCTACATTGCTCAGATATATGTTCCACCTTCCTACCAGAGATGTTTCGTGTAAAAGAAATCTATATCACACCTGTCATGAACACCAAAAGCTTTATTTTTCCTGAGAGAAAAAAAGTTGGAGAATCGATTATATGAAAATGATTTATATGATATACTTGTATTGAAAGTATAAAGAGCTGTTCATAGACAAAACATTAGTAAATCATATGTTACTAATAAAGCCCACAACAAACAAACCTTTGATATCGCCTCTCGTACAATACTATAAATAACACTTACAGTTTACATTTTTTCACATTAATCTTTTCACATAAATCTTTTCTGTATTTATTGTTTTGTTTTCTCATAGATGGTGGATATGAGATGGGGTGTCACTAATGAAGCACAAAATGACCACATGACATCTGAATGCTGTCTCCGAGAAATAAAGAACTGCCAGAATGTCTCAATTGGTCCGAACTTTGTGGTAGGTCATGTATTATTTAGATTATATATATGAAACGGATGGTCATTGTTAAGGCAGACTGTAAATTATAGGATTATTGGCGATAGTTTACCTTACACTTCGCCGCTTATACCTTAGGAACATAAGTGAAGATCCAGGACTTTTTTTCGATAGTATGGTTGCAAAATTTTGAAATGTTGTAATGCATTTTCTTAAGTGGAAGGGCGGCATTTTGGGGATAGCGAGTCAAATGTTTGCGCAATTTTCACTTAAAACAAAAAGTATTGGAAGGGTTTGGCATATAAGCGTAATCCCGGGGGAGGAGGTCACGACTTCCTAACCACTCACACACGCTATCTTCCGCACATAATAGTTCGGGTCTATAGAACTAGAAACCATTAATTAATTCCATCCTGGTACACCGCATACCAATTCCCATCAAACGAAACTATAACACGGCATTGTCCGAGTTAATATACCTGGTGGTGCCTCGACTCTCGGTTAAAAACGGGTAAATCAGTATGTAATTGGAAAGGGTTAAAAAAACCGGGGGGTTAATTTAAAACCCAAAACTTAGTATTTAGGACTAACAACAATGGAGACAAGAGTTATAGAATGGTGTCTTGCGTGTGGAGGAATACAGGAAACCAAATTTCATGTATATTACGTGGGATAATAAATTGTTCCTATAACCAAATGAGTCGCGTCATTAGAACACAACCCAAAACCTTATGGGTTCGCGACGCAACATACGGATCCAGACCAGCCTGCGCATAACGCCGCGACAGTCCTGATCAGGGAGTCCAATGCTGTTCCGGCAGAGTTACAAACCCTAGTGTAAGCAAGTAGAGAAAAAACTGGATAAGCGAATAGGCATGGAGATGCCTGATCAGACCTGCGCGGGAGAATGCACAGGCTGGTCGGATCCATGCGGTCGCGAAACGCCACTAAATGTTGGTTTTGTCAATGACGCGGCTCAAATTCTCATTATTTTATGCCTATAAATTGTCCTAGACTAAAAACTTTTAGAACTCTCCATCAAGAAATTATTTTATATAAAAAATATCCAAATGATACTTAATGTTGTTTTTTTAATTCAATATTTTATAATATTTTTAGGGCAGAAAATGTGCCTCATGTGTGTGATCCATAAACACTTAACTGCGCATGTATCACATAATGTCATCTTTAGTATATGTGTATGAAGGTATACCAAAATGTGATAACCACAGACATTTATACTAGACCCAATACACGATATCATTGTATTTTGAAAACCATCAATTTAATTTTCAACTGTCCATGAACATTGTACATACATGTAATCTGAATACATTAGATCATTTTTTAAGCATTTTGGGAATGCCATCACCCACGTGACCATTAGAAATAAGATTTGAGTGAGAGAAAAATCGAATTGAGTTCTTGTGTTCATACATATGTGTTGTAAAGAGTCCTCAAGGGAAGTAACTTAACATAGCAGTGATTAAAGAATAGACTCTATTTATCTAAATTTGCATTATCTTCTCCTAGGTTTAGGAGGAGATGTTGTTTAAAGATATTGGGTGGATAAGGACAGACCAAGAACAATATATGCCCATCACAAAAACTCAACCTCTGAGCTATTTTGTGTCAGAGCTAAACAATATGTTCTGGTATTTGGAATGCCTCCATTTAATGGTATTTACACTATCAGGATCAAAAAGGCCTGCATAAAAATCACTAAGCTTAGCTCTTTGAGTTGCTTATAGAGAAATACTTTGACATTTGACATGAAATCTTCAATGTATGTACTAAATACAGGTATGTGTTACTAAATGACTATCAGTCTTTATAAAAGCTAATAAAGATTTTTATCTATAAGTTTACACAGTATGTACACTTTTTTGTCAGTATGAAAATGTAAGTTGATCACAAAATTAATCACTTTTCAATGAAATAAAATTTATTCCTGTTCATTTTAGCCTCAATGTCTCAAACTGTTAATTTCATTTGGAATATATTTACACCACATTTTGCTATAAAAAATAACCAAGATCATCTCTATATACTCAATATATATGTTTAGATGAAATATGTTTCAGTACATTGTATGTACTTCAGAATAATATTAAATCACTTTTGTTAATAACAGCACTAAATCATATCTCTGAATCATTCTTGATTATTATTTACTGTTCTTATCAAATACAGAATGTAAAGTAGGACTGAGTGGTCTCCCCTACACTCACTTCAATCCTTTCCAGGTTTTTTCCGAGGGCAATCCAACTCTGAGTCAAAGTCTGCATTTGTTCCAAAATCAGCATTACTACTGTCCCTGTATTACTATTAACAGAAATATCACTGATAGATCGAGTGTAGAACAACGGAGGATATCCAGGAAGGCTACTGAGAGTAACAAGTCCTGCGCAAACTAACATCATGCTTCTTCAGAAATTTTTCAAAATACTGGCAGTCACGTTCAGGTATGAATGGGTACATGGCCTGCTAAAAGATATTTTCTCTCAGAACCATAAAGTTTGTAAAGATTTTCACAGAAATCTATTGCAATTTGTTTGAAGAGTAGTTCCAATTTTTTAGATATGTGGAGAATGCTTTTAACTCTTCAGGTTTCAATTTTGCATTTAGTTGCCACATATATTCTCGAAGAACATCTGCCTGCGACTCTGCACTAATTTCACTATCAACTGGTCCGGGCGAGTCTGGTTCTAAATTTTTTGCATGAACCAGAAACAAACTGTGGATGCTGACTTATCGTTGTTGTATCAGAACTCAAAGAGCGATTATCAATGGCGATGTCAATGGTGTCCTCGATTAAGTCAATCATTACTGCTGAATAAACAGCTGAAAAAACAGCAGCTCACCAGCGCACATATGGCTTCAGACGTGTCTTGTCCATAGCACAGCAGCACTGCCATATTAAGCCGCTCTGGCGTACCGTGTTTAATTGCTAGAATATATGTAACCGCTCTTCTTTTGAACGTAACACACATGAGCAATTTCATGAAGAGGAAGATGTAACAGAAAAATCTTCTTTTAAAAATCGCGTCGATTTACTTGCACCTTTTCCTTATTAATGAACAAGATCGCATCGTTTTCAGAAGTCAAGTGAAGTGGAATTAAACCCTGCTTTTTACCCCTGTCTATTATTTTCAGCACTTCAGTTCTGTTAGTTGTATCATTTTCTGAAGGAACACCTTGGAATATTTCCAAGATATTTACATTCAAACTCAACATAATGGTGTTCTTTTTTCTTCAAAAATTAGTCGATTCAATCTTAAGCCCCTTGGTGTTAGTTCAACGGTTCGTAACGGACGCAAATCATCATTTCTACTAGTAGATGACCTTGCATTCCTTAACATCTTGTTTTAATTTTCTTGTTGCTAAATAGGAAAGCTAAATTAACTTCCGCCCGGTGTCCAGGTACAAAAATCCTCGCTCTGATTTAATTGGGCCGGTCTAAAACGCAGACGCTTATGCAGACAATATAGAATATATAGTAAAACGCAGACGATATAGAATAATATAGTAAAACGCAGACAATATAGATATAGAGTGTTTTCACACAAAATGCAGACGATATAGAAATAGAAGGTGTGAATTAGACTCTTAACAGCTTGTCACCACTTTATTTTTCAGATTAATTTAATAAAATAAGAGATTTATAAGAATTATTATTTCATACAAAAATAACATTTTAATTAGAGATTAGAAATCTTTTTATTTAAATGTTTTATTAGTATGATAATATCAACAATAAATATATAATAGTGATATAAGAAAGGTTTTTTTTTATTCTATGTTAGATTTTAATTAAATTAATTTGGAATAAAATATTTAATACTACTGTAGCTTTGTATAATTTGTAACATAAAAAAATGTGGACAAGAAAGTAATTATCAAAAGTTGTACTATATATCTATAGTGTCTGCATTTTACTATATGGTACATATTGTCTGCATTTATCAAAAGTTGTACTATATATCTATATTGTCTGCGTTTTACTATATGTTTCATATTGTCTGCATTTACTCTATATCTATAGTGTCTGCATTTTACTATATGTTTCATATTGTCTGCATTCATCAAAAGTTGTACTATATATCTATAGTGTATGCATTTTACAAAATGAATTTAATGTTAAACAAATATTTTCTCTATTATATCTATAGTGTCTGCGTTTTACTATATGTTTCATATTGTCTGCATTTATCACAAGTTGTACTATATATCTATATGGTCTGCATTTTACTATATGCTACATATTGTCTGCATTTATCACAAGTTGTACTATATATCTATATTGTCTACGTTTTACTGTATGTTTCATATTGTCTGCATTTATTAAAAGTTGTACTATATATCTATAGTGTATGCATTTTACTATATGCTACATATTGTCTGCATTTATCAAAAGTTGTACTATATATCTATATTGTCTGCGTTTTACTATATGTTTCATATTGTCTGCATTTACTCTATATCTATAGTGTCTGCGTTTTACTATATGTTTCATATTGTCTGCATTTATCAAAAGTTGTACTATATATCTATAGTGTATGCATTTTACAAAATAAATTTAATGTTAAACAAATATTTTCTCTATTATATCTATATTGTCTGCGTTTCACTATATGTTTCATATTGTCTGCATTTACTCTATATCTATAGTGTCTGCATTTTACTATATGTTTCATATTGTCTGCATTTATTAAAAGTTGTACTATGTATCTATATTGTCTGTGTTTTACTATATGTTTCATATTGTCTGCATTTACTCTATATCTATAGTGTCTGCGTTTTACTATATGTTTCATATTGTCTGCATTTATCAAAAGTTGTACTATATATCTATAGTGTATGCATTTTACAAAATGAATTTAATGTTAAACAAATATTTTCTCTATTATATCTATAGTCTGCGTTTCACTATATGTTTCATATTGTCTGCATTTATCACAAGTTGTACTATATATCTATATTGTCTGCGTTTTACTATATGTTTCATATTGTCTGCATTTATCACAAGTTGTACTATATATCTATAGTGTATGCATTTTACAAAATGAATTTAATGTTAAACAAATATTTTCTCTATTATATCTATAGTGTCTGCGTTTTACTATATGTTTCATATCTTATGAACACTGATGTTAATATTCCAGATTACAAAAAACTTTGTTTATTTATTAAAGAAATTATATTAAGATTCAAATGAGCCAAAAATTGTATAAATTTAATGCTGTGGAGAACCCTATTGAAGTATTTGTTTTAATGCTGATTCTCCCGCAATATTTATGTTAACAATTTATATATCATGTTATTTTGATACTGTCTGATTCTGAAGCCTCATTTATTATGTACATGTAATTGTATTATTACCTCATGTTGTCATGTTTGTATGATCTGAGTGAATAAATGAAATTGAAAAAAAAAATATATATATATATCCCTTTCTCATACATCTTATAGTATTAATAACAAAAGTGTGATACATATTGTGGATAATTCTGTTGCTGGATTTATCATTTGGAGATTATAAAATTATTACTGATATTTTTATAGCGAACATAACTAGTGAAATTATTAAATATCGTCACTATAACATATTCTGTTGATTGTTTTCTGTTAATATTGTGTTTAAATTCATGTATGGGCTTTTGGTGTTAGGAGCAAAAGATCAAGCCATAGTAATATATCAGAACATATTTGCTGCAAAAGTGGCAAGATTTATTAAGTAGTATTTTCATACTCAAGGATAACACCGAAGTAAATCGTAGAATTCTTGAATTGAATGCTGTCTATCTATGATGTGGTACCTGATTCTTTTGCAGTAGTGAAAAATTTATTAATCATGACTATACTATGTTCAATGCTTGCATGATTAGACATATAGTTTGTTTGATGATATGTTGTGGAATTATTAAAAAAAGTGTCACTTATCACACGTGCATAATTTAATGCCTTGATAAGCCAAGGGTAGATTAAGAAGTTGCCTAAGCTCCTAGCAGTTTGTCCCTGTTTGATACGGAGAAAGTGTGATCCTCACATCCGTGTATTAGTAATATTGGCCACTTAATTTAAATGTGTGTGTCTCTTTGTTTCTGCAGAGAGAAACATCATAATTTGATACAATTATATGTACA